ACGTAGTTGGTTCTATTCGAGTCTAGTCTGTATTCACACCAGAAGCAAACTGAAGCGAACCACACCAGAGTTCGTTTGGAAGCGGACCAAGACCACCTCAAAAAGCAGGTCTTGGTCCAGTTGTTTGATCCGCACCAGAGTTCGCATGAGTGTATTCACACCTGCACAAAAGGTCCAGACCAACGCTGGAAACAAACTCTGTTTCATTTAAAGCAGAGCAAATTGTCAGGTCTGAATACGACCTTAGACATTTCTTTTCCACACTGTCAGAGTTGGAAGTTACATCACACCAAAAAACAAAACTAAACATGTAAATTAAAGAGCAGATTATTCATAAATTATCACAATGGCAGAATTCCTCAATGGACTATTTGCAACTTAGTTTTTTGAAACATGTCAATTTATTTTTTACTACACCTGTACCAACAACGTCTGGAAAAAAATAAATACAGAGATGAGATCTTACTGAAACCTTTGGCATCCTGATGCCTCTCTCTTTGATGAGCCGACTTTGCTCTTCTTCACTGAAGCCCTGGGAAAGAAACAAAACATAAAATACAATAAAAACACTTGTCACACACAGTCTCTCCACATCCGCTCAAAGCTCATCTTCTGCCTTACTTACATCTAGATATGTACGTAAGTCCAAGGCATACTGCCTCTGAAGCTGGAAGAAAAGGACACACTTAAATCAGACCATTTCACCAGGCTAAATGTAACTAATACTAGTTTGTCTTTATACCTCCATCCAGCGCTTCTTATATGTGGCCTTTTCTGTTACACTCAAGTTTTTCCAGCCACGGGACAARTCCAGTGCATCAACTTTTGATTTCCCCTTAGCAGCTTTGCAGTATTCCATGCAGAATACAGAGTAACTGTTGCTAAAAATTACACGCACAAGAAACAAAAACATGCATAGAAACAGAAAGACAGAAAACAGATCTGCTGAACTGCCAGTAAACTAAACATCTGCATCTATAGATTTAGTTAGTTTTATTAGGGCTGTACGATATTAGGAAAACTTGCTATGTGAGATAACAGTGCTTATTAATGCGATGACAATATGACTCGCGATAAATAAACAAATGTATGTAGTGTTGATGTCTTTCTGCTTTGGGTTCAGAGAGAGAGAAAAAAAACATTTTGATTCCAGCAAGATCCATTCAAATGACCAAATACACTCCTGATCAAAATCTTAAGACCAGTCAAAAAAGTGCAAGAATTTGCATTTTGCACTATTGGATCTTAAGAAGGTTCTAAGTAGAGCTTCACAATGTTAAAAGAAGAAATCAGTGCAAGAGACAAGAACTTTAGAGCAGGGAATTTTCTGAAAACTGTATTTACACTCAAACATGATTTTTTTCAGCTGATCAAAAGTTTAAAACCATAGTCTTTAAAAGCCAAAAGCTGTGCAAAAATCTGRATTCCATGTCATTTTCTGTCAAGTCTTTACACTGTCAAGACCTCCTGATGGCAAAATCAAAAAAGCTCACTGACTTTGAACGTGGTAGGATTGTTGAGCTGCATAAGCAAGGCCTCTCACAACGTACCATCGCTGCTGAAGTTGGAYGCAGTAAGACAGTCATTTTGCATTTTTTAAATGATGTGGTAGACCCCAAAAAAATGTCACCAGCTCTGAGCCGCAGGATCCGATTGGCTGTCCGTCAAGACACGGGACGATCCTCTACCC